TGAAGATATTTTTAATGCCTTAAAATTACCATTAACCTTTAACAATCTGCATTATTAATATACTTCCTTTTTACTGCATTCTTTATCAAGGCCTTTCAATTCCAATATCCTTGTTAATTTTTATTATTTTTTATTTAGTTTATTGTTTTCTGTTGTCATAGCAGGATATGACAACACAACTATGAAGTTCAATCACACTATTGTCCAGTGATCAGAGTCACCTTCCGTAGCAGAATAAACTTTTTGTACTTCAACTGATTCACATACAGAGTGATAGCGGTTACGTTTTACGTTGCAATATTTTTTTCACATTGCTTAATATCAAAATGAGTAAATTTTGTATCAATTTTACCCTAAAAATGTTTTACCCATTGTTCTAAAATGTACGATTTTTGATAAACATTTCCAAAACAGAAACTATGATCTAGAATTGAAACGATAGTATTAGTTGTGACACTTAACTGATAGACTGACCTAAGAACACCCTCAGATCGCTACTAAATAGTTTTTTTTTTTTAAATGCCAGCAAGAATTGAATCTACTTCTCATAGCTTTGGAAACATATTTGACATGAGCAATATATTACTGAATTCGAACTTGTTGTACACTCATCAGGCAATGTAAAAAAAAATAGTCATATAGACTCCATGATTTACTGAACCACCTTTTTCTTCATGTGTCATGTGCACTCATGATGTAGGCGATGATGGCGTTCCACAATTTCCTGTCTTTTTGTTATTTCACTAAAACCTTGTTCTGACATCCATTTATTCAAGCTCGGTAAGTATGTTATACGCTGTTTTTCTTTGTCCTCTCTAATCTTCAATCTATCCCGAGAGTAACAGATTTTCCAAGCCTCCCCTCCTCATTATGTGTCTTGGAAATTTCAGCTGTTTCTTAACTGATGTTAAGTATAAATTTCCTTTTATTTGCATTTTCGCTACATATATAGATGTCTCAAATATGTGGTCCACGGTACTCTAAGCATCCTTCTGCAGAACTACAAATATGTTGCTTCCAGTTTTTTCTTCATCTTTCAGTAGAGTGTCCAGCATTTATTGCCATATAGCTGGACATACACTCCTGGTCAAAATCTTAAGACCAGATACAAATTGGTTAAAAAAAAAAGATGTAAAATACTGTTACCTTAATCAAAATATAGTTGCGAAACATTTATATTTAATTAGAAAATGTAGTATATCAACAAATATTTTTTCAATGTTTAACACTTTTGTATCTGGACTTAAGATTTAGACCAGGAGTATATGTAATTTAGCTAAGAAAAATTTTTGCTTAAATAAGTGATTATAGTCTCTAGATCGATGCGCGGGAAGAATTATTCTTCACGCGCAGACGATCTGATTGGTAGGCAAAGACCAATCAGCGAACGAGTTTTGGGGAGACTTAAGAAAGCTTCTGTGATTCGTTTCTCCCAAAAGTGCACAAAACTGACTACATGGAAATAGAGCAATTACAAAATTGTCGCATTGCTGCGATTTGTAAATTGTCTATAATAACGTAGTGTCGATTAATTGACCAATGAACGCTTGGCGTTGTATGTGATTTCTATTTGTATGTATGTATGTTTGTGCGTGATAGAACAAAACAATTATAATCAAAATTTACATGACTAAAGCATTACAAACCAAAAGACAGTTCCTGAATTAATTTACTGCCATACGAACAATTCTAAACGATATTTCTAACAACACGAACGGTTAATCTTATCCTATCAACAAACAACAATCTAAAAGAAAAAAAAGCTACAAAGACTTTTCAAAGGTGGACCTTTGATTATGTGATAGCTACACAATTTATTGTATATTTTTGTACATATAAATTTAAGATTTACTTTTATATATGAAAGAAGTCGTTTGTGTCATATTTTTCAAAATTTTCTATTAACCTTGTGCCAGGCAGAAAACAAAAGGTTTGTAGATTTTTATTCACGCAACCTGTTCAACTATATTGACTATATTGACTAAAACCTTCTGATGATAATTTCTTTGAATATACACCACCAACTCTGCAACATATGCTAAAGCGAATTTTCGAAGTAATTCGCGAAAATGGAGGATATATTTACTATTAAATTATCGTTGTGACTTATTTGTTCTGTATTTTTATTTACATAGTATGCCTTTATGACCAACCCAAAATACTTTTTCAATGTTTGTTTAAATTAATCATTTAAAAGCTTAAAACGTTCACTTATTTTTTGATAAACTACATTTTCTAATTAAATGTAAATGTTTCGCAAATATATTTTGATTAAAGTAACAGTATCTTATATTTTTTAACACTTTTGTATCTGGGCTTAAGATTTTGACCAGGATTTACACACACACACACACACACACACACACACACACACACACACACACATATATATATATATATATATATATATATTTAAACCCAAAGAGCCAGGTTGTTTTTGGTTTAAACTATATATTCTGTTCCATTTTTACCTCTTTAGCCAATTTTACCCTGACGATCCGTGTAGGTGAAACCTAGGTAGGTTTACCTGACTTTTTAGGATTATATTAGGTTTGTTCTACTTCGTGTATTGAGCACTTTACGTAGTTATTTTACTCGTTTTGGAGGTTTTTATTCTTTGGACTCTGAGCTTGAATTCTGAACGATTGTTTTCGCCTCAATTTCATGTCTTTTGTGAGACCGGAAACTACCTACACAATAGACTCTTCCAGGCCTATATTATGTAGGCGACATCGCACTCTAGAGAGAGACAGAGAGTGACACAGAGAGACAGTGAGAGTCTCGTACGACTACCAGTATTGGACACTAACATATAGTAAGCTCTGCTTACACTATCTCTGTAACCTGTTGTTAATATATCTTTCTTACTTCTAATCCGTGTTCCGTGTTTTACTTCTGTGGTCCCAACTTTGGCCCCACATCAATGTCCTTAGTTCTTTCTTTTTTTTATTCCTCATTTTTCCTTGGGTATTGGTTTGTTCAACTACAAGCCGAAATACCTAAGTTTTTTCCAAGCGAGTACCACTATATATATATATATATATATATATATATATATATATATATAGTCTTAAGGTGTGCTATATTTATGGAATAAAGTGCTCAATATCAGAGATAGAGCGTGCGTAAATATAAAAGTGAACATAGAACTCAACAGTTAGAGGCGACAGTCTGTTTCATGCTATATGCAATCGTAAGGCAACATATGCTGTTATTTTTCTCGGCTATTTATATATATACGGGTTAGTGGTGCATTGTGGGTATTTTATTATGGCGGTTATTTTACCGGAAGTCGTTTGTTTATTTATTTGGGTCAAGTTATATTGCTCGTTTTTATTTTTGTTTCTTATTTTATTTATTTATTTATTAACGTAGTAAAAATTTGTTTATATCACTTATTTAACAGTTTTGTTTTGGTTTGAGAATTTAATTAATGCTATTTGTTCAAATTTGGGGTTGGTTGTTGTAGTTCATTCTAACTATTATTTTGGCGGGAAGAGTTTTTAATTTGGGATTGGTTTGTCTATTTATTTACTTGGATGAATTTAGGTCAATTTATTTTTTGCAAACTTTGCTTGAAGGAAAAAATAGCCATCATTACTTTCCCCCGACCAAAATAAATTATTAAATAAAAGATCCGAGCTCATCTCAAAATGCAGGCAAGGTAATGTAACCTAAAAATGAAAAACGGAAAAAAAAAAAATAAAAACCACTAATAAGAAAGAAAAAAATAAATAAATACTATGTTGGTTCCAAAACTGAAAAGAGAAAATATACAAGTAAAAATAAATTGACCTAAATTCATCCAAGTAAATAAATAGACAAACCAATCCCAAATTAAAAACTCTTGCCAAAAAATAATAGTTAGGAACTATAACAACCAACCCCAAATTTGAACAAATAGCATTAATTAAATCAAACCAAAACAAAACTATTAAATAAGTGATATAAACAAATTTTTACGTTAATAAATAAATAAATAAAATAAGAAACAAAAATAAAAACGTGCAATATAACTTGCCCCAAATAAATAAACAAACGACTTCCGGTAAAATAACTGCCATAATAAAAATACCCACAATGCACCACTAACCCGTATATATATAAATAGCCGAGAAAATAACAGCATATGTGGCTTGACGAATAGAGTTGTTCTTCTATGTTCTTTATATATATATATATATATATATATATATATATATATATATATATATATATATTTGTTTTGCTTGAACCTTATTTTAGATGGATGCTCTTATTCAAATAAATGCTCTGTTTAGCACGTCAGATCTGACGGTCCCCCATAAGGGATGTGGGTTCCAAATGGAGGCATATATTTTCTGATAAGATTTTTGAATATTCTAGTAAATGTTGCTTCCAGATTCTTCTTCATCTTTGAGTAGAGTGTCCAGCATTTATTGGCTATATATTATATAACAATTCAGTATTCTTTTATTTGTTTCTGGTGAAAGTTTACTGTTTCTTACTACTCTGCAGAGAATTCGGAATGCACTTTTGGTTATTCCAATGTGCCTTTGACTTTCAGCAACGGACTTTCCGCCCTCTGTTAAAACACTTCCAGATATTTAAATTTCTTTTACTTGTTTAATTTTTTTTTAATTTCCGATTTCTTCGCTGACTAGGATGCATTCTGTCTTCTTGCAGTTGATGTTTAATCCTTTCTTCTCTCTTTCCTTCACTAATTTCTGTAGAAGTTTTTGGTCTCCTAGGAAAATTAAAATTCCTCACTCAAATATATACAAAGTGCAAAAGTAAAATGCAGGTTGTGAAAAAATAAGAAGGATGAAAATAAAATGAAAGTAAAATTAATAAAATGTCTGCTATTAATATGCGGTGTAAACAAACAATAAGGTAAAAGTGCTCAATACCCTAAGTAGAGCACGTTGTAGAACATCTAATAATAATGAAATAAACAAAATGTGAATTACTTACAACACCCCACCAAAGGGCATCAGCATAGCTGGCAAAATCCTTTTTACCCTCCCGTCGTTCAGCCAGGTATACGAAATAGGAAGAAAATATAAGACCCAGGAAACCTATGTAGAGAGTGGTAATAAGTTCCTGAAAGTTAAACAAAGCAATAAGCAAGATAAATATCAAGATAGAAGGATAGAATTGTGAGCATGTATATATATATATATATATATATATATATATATATATATATATATATATATATATAATAAAAAGGCTTATACACTAATACTTATTATATCCTTACTCTGTCCTGGACATTGAGTTCTACCTGGATTCTTCCTCTTGAATTTTTATTAAAAAATATACATGTATGAGTATTCATATATTTTGCATATGCATGTATATTTACCACTAATATTATCTATCTATCTATCTATCTATCTATCTATCTATCTATCTATATATATATATATATATATATATATATATATATATATATGTGTGTGTGTGTGTGTGTGTGTGTGTGTGTGTGTGTGTGTGTGTTTTGAACAATAAAAAATATTAATAAATTAAAATTTTCAGACACACTGGGTTGTATATTAATATTTATTTTGTTTTATTATTTCAATTAGGTTCCTCGACTAGTTTCGGCTAGCAAGCATGGCCATCAGCAGGTCAAAATCCCTGCTAGTTAGTAGCAGTAAACTACAGGCGTAAATGGCTGTTTCTGAAGAAAGTGGACTTTATCTATAGTTCCTGTTAAATTTTTTTTTATCGTTAATTTTGGTCATCTCTTGTGTTGGTTAAACGGCCTCTTTCAAGTTGTTTTTAAGATAGAAGATGGGAGACTTTAAGAATACGCTCCTTGGTCATTTTGACAGTGTTATTGCTTGCTGGGAATGAGATGTGTGTGTTAAATTTATGTTATCTTTTTTAGTTCTTTGGGCGTGTTCTATTTATATATATATATATATATATATATATATATATATATATTTAGAGAGAGAGAGAGAGAGAGAGAGAGAGATCTTTGATTGAAAGATTCAGACAAGTTTTGTCTACTTATTTTAAATTGGAACCCTTCATATTCAAGGACATGCTTTTGGGTGTCATTATTAAAGGAAGAGAAACAAATTACCGTGTTGAGAGAAATTATTTATTCCAAGTACTTTCATTTTAAAATAATAATAATAAACACAATCTAAAAATTGTTGAAGCTATCTATATTAAAAAATTTAAACCAACCCTTAATAAAATTAATTATGAATACTGCACAAATGTTTTAAAATGTCTACAAGAGATAGTTTAAAATATCGTGTGTTGTAACAATAGTTTTTAATACTTATTTTTGTTAACATTCCACAACCTCGTAACTTAGTTACCTCCCCTTAAGTGTTACTCCAGCTAGTGTATTTTTATTGAAAATAGTACTTAGTTTACTTTCACCAGGAAAATGCTTGGCTATTAATGCGAGGAATTTTTGTCTTAATTTGTTCTTTACAGATGGTAAGGAACAAATTAGGACAAAAATTCCTCGCATTAATAGCCAAGCATTTTCCTAGTGAAAGTAAACTAAATACTATTTTCAATAAAAATACACTAAAATTAAGTTACTGCTGTACTGAAAACTTAGAAAAAAGTATTAAGAAACATAATGCTAATATCTCAAATAAACACTTACACCAAAACCAAAAAAATTTAGACAATGGAAAAATAAAAATAAAAACTGATGAGAATAAAGAAAGATTATGTAACTGTAGAAACCCTCATAACTGTCCTCTACAAAATAAATGTCGCACGGAATCATTAGTATACTAATGCAATATTTCTACGATAGAAAATACTGAAAATATAAAAATATATAGGTTGTACAAGCCATGAGTTTAAGAAAAGGTTCAACCAACATCAAAGTTCATTTAGGATAAATAAATATATAAATCAAACATCTCTCTCAAAGTACTTCTGGCACTTAAAAGAATCCAATAAAACACCTACAGTAAAGTGGAAGTTAATAAGAAAAGCTAGAATATGTAGGTCATTAAATGACCCATGTCCTTTGTGCATACATATATATATTACTATATATTACTAAGTTTATAAAAAATAAAAAATTACTGAATCAGAGAAATGAAATAGCTATTTTGTGTCGTCATTGCAAAAATTTTCCTTAAATAATATTTAAAAATAAAATAAAATTAAAAATAAAATTAAAAAGGACGACCTGGTAATATACATACTCATATTTGATGTGAAAAAATAATTTTATATACTGTAATAAATTCTATTGCATTTACTGGTTTTATTTAAAAAATATATAGTCTATTAAAATTAACAGTGAAAATATTTAAAATTGTTTTTAAAATTGTAGTTTAATAAAACGAATTCTAACCTAAGCATCTTTTAAAATTGTAGTTGAAATAAAACGTATTCTAACCTAAACACATCTCTCAAAGTGCTACAAGCACTTAAAAGAATCCAATAAAGCACCTACAGTAAAATGAAATTAATATGAAAAGCTAGAATATGTGGGCTATTAAATGACCCATGTCCTTTGTGCATATATGAGAAACTATATATTATTAAGTTTATAAAAAATAAAGGTGTACTAAATCAGAGAAATGAATTAGCTATTTTTTGCCGCCATTATCATAAATTTTACTTAAATAACATTTAAATATAAAATTTAAAATAAAAATGTGACCTGGTAATATACATACTTATACTTGATATAAAAAAATATTTTTACATACTGTAAGTAATTCTAATACAATTACTTGTTTTAAAAATAAATAAGGTCTATTAAAAATTAAAAGTGAAAATATTTTAAGTAAAACGTATTCTAACCTAAACATCCCAAAAAAATCTTTAAGCATACAAATAGAAAAAATACCGTAAGAATTTTTGCAGTTAACAATAAGATTTTATTAAAAAAAAAAAAATCCAGACGACATGCATTTAACGGATGTCAGAATTCGTTGAAAAATATATCGCTACCCCTACTTAAACATAACCCCTTTTTCTAACGTAACTAATAAAACTGATACAACAAAAGTTAATAAAATGAACACGCAACCACCCCTTGTCTGGATGAATGGATTTCCATGTATCCTTAGAAACTGTTAATTATGATTTTGTAGTGCCTTTAAACCCAGTACATTTTATAATAAATTACTCCAAAATTTGCTTGAGGATGAAATGGAACTAATGTCTTTAATTTAATTACAAAATTAAATTCGAAGCTTTTAGCTTTCATTTTTGAAACATGGTTAGAACTGTGTAGCGAAGAAAACATATTTTAAATCAGTTAATATATATAGAGGAAGTTCTCCATATTTGAATTATGAACTCCGAGCAATACAGGATAAATATTGAACCTGGGCTGATAATCCTTTATTTTGGAGAGGGAAACTTGAGTTGTGTCGGTTTTATTTTTTAAATATTATATATATATATATATATATATATATATATATATATATATATATATATATTATAGTAAAAAAGGAAGAACAGTAAGACATATAATCCGGTGTTCTTATTGATATTTTTATTTTTACAAAACAGTGCTCAATGTAAATTTACAGAGCATAAATATTATAAATTAACTGATTTGAAAATATGGTTTCATATGAAACATTTTTAAATTTTAAATTATATATTATATATATATATATATATATATATATATATATATATATATATATAACACAGCATAACAAACGTTTGCTACGCGTAACAAACAAAAACGTTTTACATTCGGATTATTTCCATCATCTTAGAGTAACGTATCTGTGCATATTGCATTTTATAGTGATTTACTAAGTAGCTTAGGTGTGGCACAAGGCCGAAAGTGGGGATCCCCCAGTGAGGATCTGACTCACTACTCAGTCTCAATTGATCTAATAGGACAATCTTGCTAGCCATTACACCGCGTCCAAGTGACCATATTGCATTTTATATATGTGGATTATTGCTATTTGAATCCATACCTGTCGATGCAAATATATTACAGAGCCTAGTAACCTCCATGTCCCTCCTTGTCGGTCAACGTGTAGCATACGTAGAATTTGCAAGAATCGAACTCCCCTAAAAGAAAGAAATCAAAATTTATACTGAATCATACAGAAAAATACAAAGAATTAATGATAACATTTTTATTAGTAACTGAATTTTGCCACATCTTTTATAAGGAATGTGCTTTTAAAGTTTTATGAAACCGAAACCTGAATGATAAAACGAAAAAACAAATACACACCAAGTCAATCATGACGTGAATTAAATAGACGTTATCTAATCTTATTAGGCACGGTGGAGTAATGGATAGCAGCACGGATTGAGGAATCGGAGAGCCGAGTGAAATCCATTATATTTACTTACGTGCTAATGCCCCATGAGAAAGTTATGAATCCTCTTTTCATGCCGCCACAGCTATGGGTAAATAGCAGGACAGACCAGGTTCTATAGCCTTAGGTGGCAACTGGTTCACCACAAAAAGAAATGGCAACCTACTGCGGAAAAAATTCTGCCTCGTCAGTCATGTATCGAAAAATACGTGATCGCCTAAGCGTGTATCACGCATGGCACATAACTGACTGATCTAATCTTAATTTTTTTCCAAAACCTTCATCTACGTACCATGTCCCATTAGGATGTGGGCGATTATGGTTCTCCACAACGTCCTGTCTTTTGTAACACTTACAAATATTTGTCTTTTTGTTATCTCTTTAACTCCCTGTTCTATCAACCATTTGCACAAGCTCGTTAAGGGGTTTATTCACTACTTTCCAGTCTCGCTTGTCTTCGACACGACCCGTGGGTGTCGACATGTCCCATGAATGTCGACATATCCCGTGAGTGTCGACATGTCCCTTGCATATATGCCATATATGGTTTGGTGTCTCTTATATTTTTCTCAGGGTTCTTGATAGGATTCAGAGACGGATATGCAATGTAATTGACCCTGATCTGGCATCTCGTCTGCAGTCGCTCTCTCACAGACGTGCCGTCGCCTCTCTCTGCCTTTTTTATAAATACTTTCATGGTAACTGCTCCGAGAAGCTGCTTCAGCTGGTTCCCAGACTTCATGAATTTAAGCGTTCAATTAGGCTTCTATCTCGCTCTCACCCTTTCACTGTCGAAACTGTTAAATATAGCCGTCTCTTTTACTCCGATAGCCTCATGTCTCGCACCTCTCGCCTGTGGAACTCCCTCCTCTCTTCCTGTTTCCCTGATATCTATAATCTTCAACTATTCAAATGTAATGTCAATCGACGTCTCCAGATGCCTATCCCCTATCCTTCTCTTCATCCATTCCTCTATCACTCCTATTTGCTCTCACCCCAATTCTCTGTAACCCCTTGTGTGCTAGTGGCTTCCTGCTTTGCTTGAGGTGAAACGCTTTAAAAAAAACAGCTCAGTACACGTTTCTTTGTTTCTAATGTTTCCTATTTATTAATACTTTGCTTCATTTCTGGAAGACATCTGTCACAATTCTGAAGTATATTCGGATTTTGGTGTCACATTTTTTTCATCCTCTGTTAAAACACTTCCTAGATATTTAAATTTTTGCACTTGATTGAATTTTGTGTTTACGATTTTTAGTTTTAATCTTGGACTTTTTTTCTCACAATTTTTTTTAAACATACGCACTTAAATAGGGTGTCATCAGTAATGTAAATTGACTTGATTCATTAGGGAGTTTCGGATCTTTCAACACATACACCCCATCACCAAGCCGACCCCAGTCAGCGTTGATCAAGCCCCGATTCCCCCTCCGCTATCAAATGCTAGCAGAGACTCTGGCCTTTATACTAAAGTAGACCACGTTTTCTGCGCACCTGATTTGACGTTTCTAACAACCAATCCACTGCACGGACTAAATTTTTGAATGGTCCACGGTGGTGAGGGGGGGGAGTGGCACATTTTTTATCGGGGGCATAGCAGCTTGAGTGGATAACCGAGAAGGTAATTTACATTATTAAACTTAAACACTCTAGTTTGTTTGCCAAACAACGTTTGGTGACTTATTTAACAATTTTCGGTTTTGTTTTCTTAATTAATTACTCTAAAATTCTATAATTTAAAACTACTTCTAAACATTATATTTAATTGACTATTGTAGTCAACTATCAGTTCTGAAAAACAACAACAACAACAAAAAACAAACTCGTCAACACTGCTATTACATTTTTATATATATCATTTGAACTAATTCCTAACATTATTAAAAGTCAGTTATCATCTTTAAGGACTTATTCTCAACAATATATAGTCTTCATACATTTGATGGTTAGTCCTTTCTTCTCGCTTTCCTTTAATACCTTCTGTAAGAGATCCAGTAGCTTAATTTCTGTATCTGCAATTAACATTGTGCTTTCTTCATATCTTATGTTGTTAAGACTTTGGTCACCTATAATGACTCCTGGTAGTAATTCTAATTCTCTCAAAATCACCTGTGCAAAGTTTAAGTCAGTCCGGTGAGAAGACACATCCTTGTCTTAAACACCTTTCAACTTTTATGTATTTACTGAATTGATTTTCTCCCGAATTACATTTTCTTTCATTCTCTGTTACCTTTTGCATCTTTGTGATTTTATCTCCTTCCTTTGGATGAAATTATTAACAAAAGTTCCAGATGAATTGTAAATGAAGAAAGAAGGGATTGTAAGCGGTCAGGAGTTAATGCAAGTGTTACTGAAAGAATGATGCTATTATTACTATGTAATTATAATGCTGCAGTATTTATAACAGAAATTTATTGAAAGTCTAACAGAAGGGTGCTAGTGAAATTCAAAATATAAATCTTACATATATAACCAAATAAAGGATAAATTAAAATTTTATAGAACTGATTTGCTAATTAACTGAAATTGGGACATTTTTTACATTTTTAGCGAATGTACAATGGACTTACCTAATCGCAGAAGTTGCAAACACCTGACCCTCTGAGCCCACTGTAAAAACTACGATGGATGCTACAACAACAATGAGATCTGCAGAGAAAATAAAAAAAATAATAAATGAAAAATAATCGAAATAATAGTAAAAAAATAAACATCATGCAAAACAGTTAAAAGGAGTAACTTACCTGGAAATAGAATTTACTTCTTCATCAAGTTTAAAATGAAATACGCACAATAATAATAATAATAATAATAATAATAATAATAATAATAATTTTATTATATTTCTGCATGTTTTTCCCTTAGTTCTTTAGTTAGCATGACCGTTACGTCCTGCTAATACCTCATAAATAATGAACTATTTGGTTTTGATCGAGTGGAGAAACGGAAGAGATAGATCTTCAAAATGGTGATGTCTTCAAAAACCTGCTGATAGGGGACACGTTGAACCTCAGCCATAATATTTGGTTTGAAATAAACGGTAAAGTATGTGAAGTGATGAATGTAAACAGTGCAAAAAGAATAGCCAACAAGAAAAAAAAATCATTTGTTGGGGAAAATATTACATCGCGGTGAAATATTACAAGGCGGCTGGGGGTGCGAAAGTGTAATAGCGTCGATTTTTGTCCCTGTTAACCAGCGTCCTTTCAAATTCGTTCGACTTTGTCTATTTCCGATGTCTCGGTCGTCCAATATATATGATGTTCCAATCTAAAAGCCTTGTCCATGCCCTGCTCGTTATGATCCAGTATTTGATTCCGGTGCTTTTAAGTTGAATTAGTTACAATGATTGATGGCATATTCAGTTATTAGGACGTAAGGGGGTATTATCAGTGGTAGTACCTTTGCAGCAAAACGGTCGGTCAGGTGAAATGGGATGTGGAACTGTACCTATATCCACCTCTCACACAAGGCTCCAAGAAGTTGCTTGGGATCTGCAACATCCACATCCTGTTCAAGAGCATTGACCTGCCGGTTAAACTGTGTGTGGGTTATTGGGAGAGTTTCCTCACCAGACCGACGCCTCTCCCCAACTCACCTATGCTAAACGACCATCGGCCAGTTACAAGCCTAGGCATAGGATGTGCGCCTCAGAGGTCAATGGTTTTACCAGTAAAAACCTCTGGGAGAACGGACGGGCAAACTCAACATAATTATATATATATATATATATATATATATATATATATATATATATATGTGTGTGTGTGTGTGTGTGTGTGTGTGTGTGTGTGTGTGTGTGTGTGTGTGTGTGGTTATTTAATGAATCATTCATACAAAAGTAGATTAGTAAAGTTAATGATATAAAATGGTGAAATCTCTTCCCTAAGAAAATTTTGCATTAACCTACAAATTTGCAAAGTTGCATTAACCTACAAATTACTCGATGAATGTTATGATCCTTGTTTTTAATAATTGTAACCTGTATTTAAAAAAGATCTTATACAGCTTATAATACTAAAAACAAGGATCATAACATTCATCGAGTAATTTGTAGCTTAATGCAATTTTAAAATTTTGTTAGGGAAGAGATTTCCCCATTTTATATCATTAACTTTACTAATCTAATTTTGTATGAATGATTCATTTTAATATAGATTGAACAGTACCACATATGTGATATATATGTATGTATACAAACACACACACACACACACACACACACACACACACACACACACACACACACACACATATATATATATATATATATATATATGTATATATATGTATGTATGCATCGCTCCGTATCTTTCTTCATCCTTCTCCCCACCTTCCGGTATATCTACCTTTGCTTCTCTTTCTATATACACACAGACACACACATACAAATTCACATATATATATATATATATATATATATATATATATATATATATATATATATATATATAAAAAGAAAGAACAGTAAGATATATAATCCGGTGTTCTTATAGATATTTTTATTTTTACAAAATAGTGCTCAATGTAAATTTACAGAGCATAACATTATAAATTAATTAATTTAAAATATGTTTTCCGCTACACAGTTCAACCATGTTTTCAAAAATAGAAGCTAAAAAGCCCGAATTTAATTTTGCAATTAAATTAAAAGCATTAGTTCCATTTCATCCTCAAGCGAATTTTGGAGACTTCAATTGGGGCTTTTAGCTTCTATTTTTGAAACATGGTTGGAACTGTGTAGCGGAAAAAACACATTTTAAATCAATTAATTTATAATATATATATATATATATATATATATATATATATATATATATATATATATATAATGAATTTTACTATCACTTCCAATTTTTTCCGCAAACCACAAGTCATAAAGCGGTAGGGAAGAACATCGAATTCGACTGTTTCTGGTTTGTTTTTTTTTTTTTTTTTTTTTTTTTTTTTTTTTTTTACATGAAACTGCCGGTAGCGGAAGAACGTATAAATTTCATTATCCTTGTGATTTATTATATTTTTTTGCATTGTATTTTTCATTTTTTAAGTTTTATATTCATTACCGGGCTTTTACTTGCGTTGGCGTCTTTGACGCACGTTTTGTGATCGGATTTAATTTTATGTGGATTAACAAAAGTATTTAAATTTAGGAAGACATTTGACAATTATCAATTTGCTAGAGTATCTATGTTTTTAATCTGTCTTTGCTTAATATTAAGAGAGTCATGAAAAGAATATTAGAAGAAAAACTGGAAATAAAACTGACCAATAACAGATATGGGTTTTCTTGCAAAACGCAGTCTTCCAGAAGTGCCCATATATTTGCTTCGGCATCCAGCAGACCACAATCGGATGATGTATTCAAAACCAAAGAAAAAGACTAGAACAACTTCCTGAAAATATAGGAAAGATAACAGGACACTGCAGTAAAAATTCATAATTACTCGCATTACACTGTCTCTCTGACGTCGCCATTTGTATATAATGGCCTATCTTCGAGAACAAATATTATAAAGGTTTTATTCAAAGTTGTTAAGGGCAGTTTATTGACCATAACGACCTCTCGTAAGATAAGGAAAATTTGGAAATATCCGACATTTATTAACTGAATAGTTAACGTTGCTGTCATCTGAAACTTCTAAAATAATTTTTCTTAATCAGTTTTCAGGAAATTAGACTCTCAACTCCAGTAAATTTCGAAAGCTTTCAACAGGGTTTGGTATATCGGTATTTTTCACAATTTGTAAAGTTATGGTGTCTTCGGAAGGATCTTTGAACTGATTCAGTTTTTCTTATCTAATCGCGAAATGAAAGTAGTTTTCAACTGTCACTCTTCTAAATTCCTTCGTACCAATGCTGGCGCCCTCCAAGGCTCTATCCTTAGTCGTAATTTATCTTTGATCTTACCTGGTGTATTGGCTTCAGTCTATTTCCTACCGCCGTAAAATTGCTTCCCTGTGCCCTTTTCTATAAATACTATAAAGGTAATTTTTCGTAAGAGCTATTCGCTGTGGTACGTAGACTTTATGAATTTGAGAGCAGTACTAGATTGGCAACAAGATTTCACCAATTTTAAGTTGAATTGGCTAGATGTAACTTTAAGTTCTATGCTCAAAATTTTGTACCTCCCTTCCGGTGCTATGCTTTCCAAGTAGCTTTGATCTTCAAGAATGTAAATGCAATGAATTTACTTATCTAATCTCTTCCAGATTAATATTCTATTTCTCTCGCTCCTAAGTAATGTTTCGTCTTTCTAATTCTTTCAAACCCAGTAACACCTCTTGTGTTTTAGTGGCTTTACTGCCTCGCTTGGAGTAAGTATTGACCATGTTCACCATAGTCTATGAATATAGAATACAGCGCGGTACGTAATCTGTTCAATGAAACAACGTTAAAGATTAACACTCACGAACAAAGGTTGGCAGTGAGTATTCAGGAAAAAAAGATGGCCGCCTTTATACACGTCGCATTGAATATTTTGAGCCTTCTGATTGGTTAACCCTTCTATTGGTGAACTATAAAATGAGTCAGCTGATTTGGGCTGGTTCACTAGTCCACCAAGGTACCCAAAAACTCCAACAGTAAGTCCGATTAAAAAAACATTACTAGTCTTTCTAATGCTGATAGAATTTTGAATTTTTTCCCAAAAGGTTTTGTCAGAACCTACCTTGCAAGATTATAAATCTATCATGCGTCTGTGCATTAAGTGTTGCTGCCACAATGCTGGGGTTGCCCTATATATCTAGAAATTCTTGAGAATATCCCAAGAAGAATCTGCAATATTTTTGGTTCTGACCTGGCATCACAATTCCGGTCACTTTCCCACCGGCGTGATTGATATACCTTTCTCATTTTCTATAAATATCGTCATCGTAATTGTCCAGAAGACATTTCATCTTTGGTTTCTCGACTTCAAGAATTTAAGCGCAGTTCTATATTGGCAAATTACGTTTCATAATTTCGCTACTGAAATTACTAAATGTAACCGTAAGTTCTATGCTAATTTTTTCTTCCCTCGCATTTCACATTTCTGGAACACTTTTCCGAATTCTTGTACAATGTTCAAAACGGTAAATGCAATGTCAATCGTCATCTTGTCTCCTTGGATGTGGTTCTTTTATTCTGCTTTCTTCTTCATAATGTTTTTCAGTTTCTTTCACACTCGGTAATATTTGTGTTTCGGTGGTTTTTATCGACTCGTTTGGGGGAAATTATTTTTTAAAAATTTTGTTGCTGTAGGAATTTTTGAAGTGCTGTGTTTTTTTCTTATTTGGTAAGCTTTTTTTTTACAATAATATTCATCCTGTACAAGGCTCAAGAGCAACTCGAAGTAGAGGGTCACAGAGTAAGAGGCAGATCTTTTTGGTTAAGATTGTCCGGGCGATTCCACAAAGCATTGTTTTGTGGGAAGAAGCTGCTCGAATGGAACTCACGTCTCACCAACGGAATACAAATGGAATCAGGGTGGGGTTCTCTAAAATGTGCTTGACATAACGGGTTTTAGTCGTAGATGTTAAAACCGGAGGGACTAAAGAATGTCGTCTGTCTGAACATTTTTCATAGAATTAGCGATAGAGCAGCGAGAGGCTTGCGACTTTTCCTCTGGGGAAAGAGGTTGTATGGTGGGAAACAATTAATTATCCAAAAAGCCTCAGATAAGCTTTTGAACTTTTCAATACCGCAAATGATGACTGGGCATCTATTGCCCATACATAGTAATCCATTTTCGCTTGATCTGGCTCTTGTAAAGTTGAATAGAAGGAGATAAGTAATTACTGGGGAAGTACAAGGAATTGACCATTTTCCATTATCTTTCGTGATGGAGTGTACCTATGGGTTCCACTTAAGGTCTGGGTTGAAAATCCTGGGTCTTCCTTGAGAGAACATACGTTCATCGTGATACATCAAAATTCAGGTCGAATCAGTCTATGAGATTTGATGACGGAGTTTCTTCCTTTAAACTGAGAGGTTCCATTTCATTCAGAGAAAATGGCTGTATACAGATGATAGTTTAGACATTTCTAAACTAGTTGGACGTCATACAGTACATCAGTATGAGAGACTCGATATGACGAGGCTATTTAAGAACATGAATCGGGTTTTACAGGTCAGTATGTTGATTTTATTGCATTTCAAAACTTAATTAACCTGTGTTCGATTTCGTTTTCTCCTATAATAAATTTGTTATAACTGATTCATTTATCATGGTTTTTGAAGTGTTTAGAATTTATTAATTCCATATACTGAATTTTTCTGATATATTTCGAGTATGTGGGTGATGTAGATGTCATATTGATTTTAGATTTTAATCTGGACGTCTGTTTTCTCATTTTGCTGGATCACATTTTGTGTTCTTCTTTTTGATTCAAGAAGGAAACATTTCCAATAAGGCAATGTATATTTCTTTTTTGTTTGTCACTCTTTTCTGTGGGTCGTAACTGTATCCTCTAACTTTCCCTTTTTTAAGTGATCTTTACAAGTTTTCAGCGGTTTTTATTATTTGAAACCTGGATATTGATTGAAACCTGGAAATTTTGCACACTTCTGATATAGCATCACCATTGTTGGATTCAATCGATACAAATTTTAATTTTTTATTATTTCAGTGACAATTCCAAAGAAAAATCAGGAATGAATTTTAAAACTAAAAAATATTTTAATAATAATTATTACTGCTTCAGTACCTCATGATAACAAAATACTACTATATGTAAAGAAGGAATATGTGAGTGAAGAATATCAGCTTCGAAAAGGAAATTTGCGGGCTGAATCCAAATTGTAGACTAGACTCTAGAGATCACTTTCCCAAGGTTTAACCGGTCTTCTTCACAAATTGTAAAGTTATCGTGTCTTCGGACAAATCTTCGAACAGGTCCGGTTTTTATTAGCAAAAACGTATAATGAGAGTTCTGGACGGCCACTTTTCTAAAGCAGGAACGCAGGTGTCCCCCAGGGCTATATCCTTAACACGTTATCTATGCTGATGACACGACCATTTAATCATATCTCGATAAGGTCAATTTCGCGGTTGATGTCAAAAACGACCCCCAGTCTGTTGTTAACCGGGGCAAAGATGGATTGTTAAGTTTAAATCCTCCAAATCTAATCATCTGAGATATCCCATTCTGACTTCTATCAACATAGCTAATGCAAAACGACAGGAGAGTGACTTGTTGCACCTTCTTGGGCTAACGTTCTCGGATTACACGAAGAGAAGGACTATATTGAATCCATTGCTATGTCAGATGCTAGGAAAGTTGGTTCACTGTGTAATGCTAGACAATGTTTCTCTTCTGAATCTATCTTACATATTTATAAATCTACCATTTATGCTTAGAATGTTACATATGGTCTGGTTCTCCCACTGTATATCTGGAGATCATTGGTAAAATCCAAATAAGGATTAGCAATATTATTGGCCCTGATCTGGCAGCTCGGCTTCAGTCATTTTCCAACGCCGTAAGGTTGCCTCCCTGGACCGTTTCTATAAATACTTTTGTGGCAATTGCCCGTATGAACTCGTCGGCAGGTTGCGTAGACTTTGTGATAGTACTCGACTGGTGGCAAGGTCTCACCAATATACAGTTGAGTTGGCAAGATGTAACCGTAAGTTCTATGCTAACAGTTTCTTTTCTTCCAATTCTCACTTTTGAAAGTCTTTTCCGGTTTCATGCTGTCCAGCAAACTTCAATCTTCAAAAGTTTATATGCAATGTCAATCGCTTCCAACTGTCCTCCCGGTGACTCTTCTTTTGATCTTGTTCCTTAATAACATTTCTATTTCCTTATTCTTCCACGCCCAGCAACACTTCCTGTCTTAGTTAATTTACTGCCTGTTCGTTCCAGCATTCACATATTCTCAACGTTTTGGCAGATGTACACTCCGGCTTTCTACAGGTGATATACGTTGAAATTTCGAGTCAAACCCTTTATTTCATTCACCGGGTTCGAAATTCCAAGGAATATAACCTGAAGAACGCCGAAGCGTACAACAGCCGAAACGTTTTGAATATAACAACAAAACGAGGACAATAATCTGAACAATGTAATTATTGTAAATAATTACTGTTATGGTAATTTACCCATGCAGGCACGGACTCTCCCAGCTATAAATAGGAGCAGGTACTGCCTTTTCGAGAGGGAAGTTTCCAACAATCAGCTCTGACAGTCAGACTGAACATTCTTGCTGTAACACTCTCGTTTGTATATATTTGTATTACTGTTTCTGTTAATATATTTGTTTAACTCAATTCTTCTCTTTGTGTCTTTATTTCTGGCCCTAACATGGCCACAAAAGTTACAATACCTCATTTTAGAAATATAGAGTGATAAGTAAAAAAAAGAAAGAAAGGTCAACAGGAAACCATTCCTTTGTCTCATCCATGAAGCTTTGG